TTGGCTCACTACCAAATTCTGGATACATTTCATCTATTTTCTTCCATTGGGGAGAATCAGCAGGGTGCCGAAGATATTTTCCATCTGATATTTTCTCATCAACGTGCCATGTCATCTTTTTTGCCTCTGTTGCATTAGCAAACAACCCTTTGAATCGTGGTATTATCGGAAGATACCATAGTACCTTCAAAGGTTGCCCTTTAGTTGTCTCATTAGCATCGCCATCATCACTACTATCTTTTGTTTTTTCACTTTATATCGTGAAGATCCGCATTTTGGACACTCATTAAGATCAGCATACTCTTCCTGTATAATATGCAATCATTAGGACAAGCATGTATCTTTTCATAGCCCATTCCCATCTGAGACAAGATTTTCTTTGCCTCATAAACACTATTTGGAAGAACATTATCAGCCGGAAGCATATCACCCAACAATTGAAGTAATTCCGTAAAACTTTTATCTGTCCATCCATTAGTTGCCTTCAAATTGAATAACTTCAATACAGCTGTCAACCGTGTATACGTAGAACACCCAGGGTATAAAGCTATTTCTGCATCACTTTGCAAGCTATCATTTATATGCGATTGTGCAGAGAATCCCAGCCCAACATCATGAATCATATCATGCATTCTATCATTGAATCCACCCATCACTTCCTCTTCGTCAACCAATGGCCTTGTTCCTCTTTCGCCATGCCATATCCATCTTGTATATCGAAGATTTATCCCCTCACAAAATAAGTGATCCCTTAAACCATCAATAGTCAAACGTCTCCCATTTAAACAATTAACACAGGGGCAAAAATACTTTCCACTTTTGTCATAAGCATTCTTTTTAGTAAATTCAATAAATTCTTCTACCCCGTCCTCATACTCCTTAGATGTTCTCAAAGCACTCATCCAACTACGATCCATTCTGTTAATATATAAGTAATTGTAAAAAAATATTAATTAATTAAGACCGAAATCAACATTACTTTAATTTCATCCAGCTCAATTCCAAGAAAATTTAAGCAGCTCAACTAATTTCAACAATTTAATCATTCTAAATTAAGCATTTAAAAAAATTTACAAAATAAAAAATTCATATAATTCATATAGATAGCCATTTCATCAAACACTATAACTACTACAAGAAAATATTTAAAACCACTCATTATTCTTTATAACTCATAGATATCATGAAAAAATAAATCTAAATAATAGAAAATCAAAAACTCATCAATTCCATTCTATTGATTATACATGCATCTGCCTTACCCACAAGTTACTTAAAAATCTAAATTACAATACAATCACAAGCTAGACTCCTAATTCCAACAGTTCATCAAACAACAATAAGCAACATATATGATCAATTAATCTTTAAAAAGATATCATACTTACTTATGAAGTGAAGAATGCAAAATGAAGAGAGCTGCAGACTACCAACAAGTGAGCTGCAAACACCAAAAAAAAATGTGAGTGAAAAAAAAATACTTTGGGTGGGATTAAGGGAGTTGGACGTCGGTGGGTTGGAAGGGGGTCGTTGGGGGGGGGGGGGGCGAGGCGGGGGCGAGTGTGGGATAGGGGAGTAGGGTTTGGTTGGGGGGGCTGGGGGGGTGGGGTCGGGTGACGGGGGCGTCCACGGGTGGGGTGGGTAGGGTCGGGGGGTGGCGGCATCCATGGGGTGGGGGGCGAGGAGGATGTGGGGGTAGGGTAGGAGGGGGACCCCGGGGGGGGTGGGGTCGGGGGAACAGGGGTGGGGTGGGGGGGAGTGGGGACGCAGGGGGGGAGGGCCACTTGAAGGCGTATGGGGGACAGGGGGGTCCGAGGATGGGGACGGCGATATGGGGGGAGGGGAGAGAGTGGCTGTTTTGGAGACAAGGGTGGCGTCGTGGGTGGGGAGACCGAAGAGAATGAAGCTGATAGATAAGATGAGGGTGAAGGGTGTTTTGTGGGGAGTGTGGGCGTGTAAAGGAAAAAAAAAAGGAAAAAAAAAGGGCCAATCGTGGTCAACATGACCAGGCGAATATGGGCCTACGTATTCGTCTGGTCAGGTTGACCAGACGAATATGGGCCGATTTATTCGTCTGGTGAGTGGACCAGACGAATAAGTAGGCCCATATTCGTCTGTTTTATCCCAACTGATGATTATAGACACCCGTATGCGTCTTTTTTCAATTTCAGACGAAATGATTTTTTTTTGTAGTAGTGTAAAGAAGTTGAGAACGTTGACCGAGTAGGGGAGTTGAAGAGAGGTTAAGAGAGAAAAGAGAGGTTACAGCGGGAAGTGGAGATGAGGAACTTGATGAGAGTTGAAAAGGCCTCTTCTTATACATAATTATAAAAACCATTTTAAAATGATAACTATGGCAGAAAAAGAATTGAGTTAGAGCGTTAAAATACTACCATGGTTATAAAGAATTTGGCTTATTCCGAAACATCCCAAGTGGCTCAGGATACATAAAACACCATGGGTTTAACAAAATGTAAGACAAGGACTCATGGCACAGTAACCGCCCACAAGCCCAACATAACATTCATCCCACAAAACTTAGGACACAAGAAACATAGGGTGCTCAACCCAACCCACAAGTCATACACATAAGAGTATCACATACAGTAGAGTCTTATGGCCTTCACCATTTTAACAGTATTCCATCAAATACAGTCATCCAAACAAAAGAAAGTATATGTCAACACAGTCGTGGGCCTAAGATGGCAATATATATAACATTACATGCCTAAACCAAAAGAGGACTACTAGGCTATGCTCGCCTATGCCTCTGGTTGCTTTCCTTCACGCCAAGCCAAACTATATGGCTCTCCTAAAAAGCATTGAGGAATAGCGGGGTGAGACGTCAAGTCCAGTAACCAAGTATTAATTTATGACATATACAAGTAGGATGGCAAGTTGGTGAAGTAGTGCTTAAATATAGTTTAAGAAATAAATGATACTTTAATAGATACAATCACATAAAAGGAGTATATCTCACCATCCACAACACAATTCATATAAAAGTACATATATGCAACAACACAATAAAATATGCTCTCTCATCACCTTGCTCCTCCTTATGACTCTTTGACAGGGCCGGGCTTTCTGTGCTGAGTAACCCGGCCAAAGGTCACCTTACTCACATCAAGTAACGGGTCCCCTCTTGTACCTACACTGCCCAAGAATGGACTATGGTATAAGAGGTGTCTACCCAAGAGTTCGTTCTCAATTCTGGGCTAAAAAAAAGGAAGAACTACAGGGTCTAACAAAAAGGCCAAATACTGGGATTCGTAGTGTAGGCATGCCGTGCGGGCTCAAGAATGATTATCCTCCATATAACAAAATCCATCTCACATATGAACCCCATGCATAGTCACAATATATCAAAATATCATAATTTTCAAAGTAAGATGATATAATTTCAAACAAAGTATAACACATTTTCATTTCATTTAATAACATAATATTAGTATATTAAATTCAATAATACAAGAAAACATAATTTCCAATAAAACACAACTCAAACATAATTAAATCAACATACTTCCCACTTCACCAAAATTTGTTATATAATAAAATATATATTTTATTCACAGGCATACTTTTACAAATTAACTTAAGAAAATAAAAACATAATAAATACCTTACAATCCAAAACGTGTATATAAAATAAATTAACCCTGGTTACCTTTACTCCAAGCTTAACCTCACAGCTTGAGAAATAAGAGCACAAATTACAAACTCCGAAGTACAAGATAATCTACAAATAATATAGATACAATTAATATACATACAAATAATTAACTTAAATTACATAGAATTTATTATTATTAATATTTATACATATATTTACTATCCAAAATTTTTTACTTCAAATAACAATTTTTTTCTACCCAAATAACTCATTTAAATTATAAATATTTATAAAATATTGTTTTTATCTAATATTATAAGCATCTCAATTTATAACTTAAGTTTCCAGTTTCAAATTTTTTCTAATAATGTAGTCTTAACCTATTTTACATTTTAAATGGATTAAAATATCAATAATATATTAAGTAACCCAAATAAGTTATTTAACTTAAATTAATCTGTAAAAACATTCTATATATCTTGAATAATACATTTTCCAACTAAAATCTTAGTTTAAAATTCTCAAAACAATCAATAAAAAATATAAACCAATTAAAATTTCAATAATATATCAAACAACCCAAATAAATTATTTAACTTAGTTTTAATCGGTATAAATTTGATATATATATCAAATGACAGATTTTTCAACAACATAAATTTGATTTTAAATACCATAGGTAATAAATGGACAAATCTAAACTGGTTAAAATTTCTTAATAATAAATCTTTAAATTTCTACGGTCAAATATTTTCGAAACTCAATACTTACTCTATACCCAAATCACAAAATTTTCTCCAAACATTATAATGATACTACTAATATAAAGCTCTAAATATATAGGAAATATTCATAAAGAAAATTTAATAGAGAGAAGTGTTTTTATGTACCTAAATGATCTCCCAACACTTGTATTGCTCTTCGAAATGCTAACAGTTCTCTTCTTTTCTCTCGATCTCTCCTTCTACGCCTCTCACTCTCTCTTTCCATTCCCTGCTATCACTCTCTCTTTTCTTCTTCAAATTGCCAACTGTCCTCCCCAAATTTTCTACCTTTAATAAATGACCTCTCTAAAATTCTTCTCCTTTATAAATGCCTCTTCCCATTTTCTTCCTTCTGTCAATGGTCTTCCCCCCATAATTCTTCTTCCTCTAAATGGCATCAGCTTTTCCACCAAATTCGGTGGAAAAGCTGAATGCTTTGATTTTTTTTTTATAAATAATAAAGCATTATTATTTATAATAAAATATTATTTTATATTATTTAATTAATATATATTTTTAATATTTAGGATGTTACAAGAATGATGGCAGCAAAGGAGATGAAAGAACGATGAGGATAAAGAAAACATGACTTTCATGATAGGGAAGGAGGTCATGCTTACATGGTTGAGGAAGTGGAAGATGAGGATGACCGTGATGGTCGTAGAGGTGATGATGACAACGATGAGGACGAGGATGAGGAGGAAGATGACCATGATGACAGGAAAGAAAGTCATGATTATGTGGTTGATGAGGAGAAAGATGACCATGATGACATGGAAGTAAGTCATGGTTATGTGGTTGAAAAGGCGGAAGATGATGATAAGGAGGTTGAGGATTCAGATGATAAGGGTGAGGAAGACACACATGTAAAAATTGCAACCCCTACCAATCTTCCTTTGCTGTTGGATCGAGAATGGGAGAGCAGAGTGACAGTGGGAGGAAGCAAGACCTAGAAAATCCACTGAACTGAGGAGGTCAACAAGGGCAAAGAGTTCAACAATTAAATCTTTGTGGATGGAGTTCCAGGCAGCTTCAAGGATGAAGAAGCCAAAGGAGGAAAGGGACATTTTTTTCACTTTAATATCCTATAGACCCAAGAATGAGGAGGAGGAAAAAGTAGGTATATTCTGGTTAGCCTGAGTTTTAAATGACATGGTGTGTACTGATAATGACAACAATCAAATTGAAAATGACAATAAACTATATGGGGATGACAAATGATGATGTCCTTAACACCATACTTTCTGTTACTAACATGTGACAATATTTGCAGGACTGTCATTAAAATGTTTGATGAAGATATAGACCGACAACAACTGTTTTTCCTGAGTAGAGTGAACAGAGTAAATAACAGGGCATTTTTAAATGCCCTGTCTCTGCACCCATGCTTATGTTTGATAATGTTTGGTAAGATTATTGTGTAAGAATGATGCTTTCACTGTGCAATGTAGGTGCTTAATTTGGTGTGCAAGGCAGTGATGGAGGACATGAAGACAAAGCTGTGGCCAGGGAAGAGGCACATCTTCAATGTGGATTTCATGATGAGGTTACTTAATTCCATATTCAAATATCAATGACAACAATGGAATTGGAAATGACTTGTTCTCTATTAATGGATTAACAATTTTATGTCATGCAGAATATGATGGCACATGACCCAACCTAGAAAGTTTAAAAATATAGGAAGCTCTTTCTTCATGAGTTTGTTGGCTATAACTTAGGTGAATGTGAATTCATAATTGGTCCTGCTCTTATTGGCCAACACTAGTTTTGCATTGCCATCCAGCCCAGCACATTGGATTTCCACATATTAGACTCCATGAGTGACCATTTCGGAGCTAAGGATAGAAAGAAGAAGAAGAAGAAAAAGGTTGTCATCGCTTGCGTCTCTCGTGGCCTGTTGGCATGGAGGAATGGTCTCAACCGCAAGGTCACGTGTTTGAGACGCAGCATGAGAGAGAGCCTGAGGGAATCATTAGAAGAAGGTTGTCATCAATGACCAGTGGAAATGGCTGTAGATGAATGTGTAAGAAAAACTCATTATGTTTACCCTAGTTTTTGAACTTGTAAAATCATTCAACTTTCTATGTTGGTCCTGAAACATGGTGAACCACACCTAAATCTTTTTGCAGAGGAAGAGGTTCAATATTATATTGGACTTGGTCAAGCTAGGACTGGTTGGAAAAAGCCAATGTCTAAAATGATATTTGTAAAAGTTTCCCAGCAGAATAACCTGTCAGTCTTGTTAATTTCGAATTCTGTGTGATAAATGAACATGCCAGAGGTTTTAACTAACTGTGTTGATATTGTTGTGTCCACAAGAGGGATTGTGGGGTGCACTACATAATGTGGTTGAGAAGATGAGAACCTAGTGTGACCCTTAACTACACAAAGAAAAAGTTACTGGCTTAACATTTAGCTTATCACTTCAATTTCACCAATATAATACCATCATCATTAACTTACACGACCAGATTAGGGTTTGACACATTTATGCCTAAAATTGGCAATAAAACACTCATTTCTTTCCTGTCCACAGTCATGCTTCATTTTCTCAAAATCAATCCATTCTATTATTCGAATCCCCCTTCAACATTGTGCCTTTATCTAATACTAATAACTCTGACCCATTTGTAACACCATCAAACCCCTCTCCCTTAGTGTTTTTGCTTCCCCCATGCATTCACCCTTTGATCACAGTCCTTCCCCACAGGTTCTATATACCCACACCATCTCCTTGCTTCGCCACCCTCTCCACCTCAAAACCAGCCCCACATCGACAACATTCCCATCCAAAGGGAACAAGAACATGAACCAATGCATAAAGGAGATGTAGAAAAGAAAGAGAAGAAGAATATAGTCACTGAATACTAACATCACTTGCTTACTTCATTCAACTCTTGCTTCACATGTTCATGCTCCTACGTTCATGGTCCCTTCCAACTTTTTCCTCTAGCTCCCGCCACACTTTTTATAGCTCCACCAAAAATGTTGCTTTTTTGGGTCGTACAAGGGCTTTTTGGTAATTGATCAACATTTGTATCGTCTCCCATCAGGCAACACTTCCCAATTTGTCAATACATTTTCTAAGCTTCTTATTTTGGCATTTCACATTTTTAGGTTTCTTTATATGTCATTTTCCCAACAGAATAATGTAAAAAAAAAAAAAAAGATCTCATTACTATTTTGTAATAATGTATTGCTTTTGTATTTTTCCGGTCCCATAATATTGTGTTGAAAAAAAAAATGAGGTTGATACAAGTGTTTAAATAAGTTACCTATGTCTAATAATTTTCTTGTTCTTAAGAGTTTTGTTATTTATACTTGACTATTGCTAAAGTAAACTATCAATTATATTACCTTGAATCTTTAATATAAAATCTAGTTAACTAATTTAGAAAGATTAAATAAATTAAAAAAATTATTTACTTATATTTATTTTTTTTCCAAACTAATTTTCTTAAATCATAAACTAATATATCATAAATATATAATCTAATTATACACTCAAATATTTTAGATAGATCATATAATATAAGTTATAATTAAATAATTTATTTAACTTATATAATCTTACTTTTGATTGAAATTTTAATGTTAAAATAGACAAATATATCTCGTGGCTAAAAGTAAAAAATAGAGACATCCATCTCAATAAACCCCACCCCCATTTTTCTTTTTGAATGAAATAAAAATGATGCAAATAATAATTTTTTTGGAGTGAGATATAAATAATAAAATGCCTCGTTTTACTTGAATATTTTAAAAGTGATACGTAAATAAATAATAATAATAATTTTCATATATGAATGCGATTAAAATTGAAACCAAATTATCGATGGCAGAAAAAATTGAAACCAAATGAGAACATTCTTCAAATTAAGCTGCAATAAATTGAGGTAAGAAAATAACTTATACTGTAATAAATAAATAAAAGGAATAGGCTTCCCCCTCCTCGTCGACCGCCCAATTCTTAGTGGAAGACTCTGTTGAAGAATCTGAATTTCTGAATGCAACTGAATATGTCATTTTGCAGAGCTCCTTCGCGGTATTTCTTCTCCCGATTTCCTCTGTTTTCTGCAGCTTCTACGTCTCCCTTCCTTCTTCCTCCCTCACATGTCTCGACTCTCTATTTCTGTTTCCATTCCAATTCGACAAATGCTCATAATATTGAAGAGGCCGTCTCTTCTTTTAATCTCTTGCTTCATGTGCGCCCCCAACCCTCGATAATACAAATTAATAAGATCCTAGGAGCTCTTGCAAAGTTGAAACATCATCGAACCGTTATCTCCCTTTTTGCACAAGCGGAATCTAAGGGATTCACGCCATCTCTGGTAACGCTGAACATCTTGATTAATAGTTACTGCCATTTGGGTCAAATGGCTTCTGCTTTCTCTGCCTTAGGCAAGATTCTTAAGATGGGCTGTCAGCCAGATACGGTTTCTTTGACCACACTGATGAAGGGCCTTTGCATCAATAATGACGTTGGAAAGGCCTTGGATTTTCATGACGATCTGATAGCAAAAGGATTTCAGTTAAATGCAATTAGCTATGGCACACTGATCAATGGACTATGTAAGACTGGAAAAACAAGAGCTGCCATTAAATTCCTCATAAAAATGGCGAGAGGGCCAGTTAAGCCTAACTTAGTTATGTATAGTACGATTATTGATGGCCTTTGCAGGGAAAGACTCATAACTGAAGCTTGTGATTTATTTCATGAAATTATTGATCACGGAATATCTCCTAATGTTGTAACCTACAGCTCTTTGATATATGGTTTTTGTGTCATGGGTAAAAAGGCAGAAGCTACAAAACTGTTCAATGAAATGATACGTAAGGGCACCAACCCTAATGTGTATACTTTTAGCATATTGGTCGATGCATTTGGTAAGGAAGGAAGTATGACTAAAGCTGAAGCTTTTGTTGCTATGATGATGAAGTATGGTACAATGCCTAATCATGTTACTTACAACTCTTTAATGGATGGTTACTGTTTGATCAATAATGTTGGTGAGTCAAGAGAATTACTCAAGAAGATGGTTAATAGTGGTTTGGCTCCTGATACTATTAGTTATAGCATTATGATTAATGGACTTTGTAAAATCAAGATGGTGGATGATGCCGTGAATCTCTTTAAAGAAATGCGTCATAAAAGCTTGACTCCCAATACTATCATCTATAGTTCCCTTATCGACGGTTTTTTCAAGTCAGCAAAATCTGTGATGTGCAAGATCTTATTTATGAGATGCATGTTAGTGGCCATACGCCTGATATAATATTTTACAATATTTTATTAGATGGATTGCGCAAAAGCCAACATCTTGACCAAGCAATTGCATTATTTAAGCAAATTGTCAACCAAGGAATTCGGCCTGATACTTCCACATATACCATACTTATTGATGGTTTGTGTGAGGGTAAGAGATTAAGTGATGCGCAACAGATTTTTCAGCTTCTTTTGGGTAATGGTTATCCTTTGAATGTCCAAGCATATACTGCTATGATCAAAGGACTTTGTAAAGAGGGTTTATATGATGAGGCAAAGGCCTTGCTCTATAAAATGAAAGAGAATGGATGCTTACCTGATGCTATAACTTTTGAAACACTTATTATACCTCTTTTGGAAAAAGGTGAGAATGATGAGGCAAAGAATCTTGTCGACAAATTATTCAGCAAGGTCTCTTGAAATGATAAAAGAAGGTTTGTCACTGTACTCCATATTGTGTTACTGCTGGTCATGATAGAAAAGGTTGGCCAATGTGTTTTTTTAGGGGAAAAAGTTTGGCTGTAGTGATGTTTGGATTGAAGATATATATTTTTTTTTTTTCAAGTCATATGTTTACTTATTTATTTATTACTTTTGTTGTAACTGGTGGTTTCTTTTGTTTTTATGTCTTTACATGAGCTTGATGGAACATGCTCACACACACTAGCATCTATCACCAAAATGACGCCTAGAATTCCTCTTCTCCCTATAGTAATTCCATCAGATCAGAGCACTAGACATACCTCACTCTTGTAATTCCTCTCCTCTCTCACCTTTGGTTGCTTAGTTTCATCATTTTTGCAAGCGCATCCAAAAAGCTCTATGCACCCTAGAATTTTTCAGGTTCATCACTATTTAAGAGGCCTACTTAAGCACGAGAATTTATAAATGCAAAATTTGCTTGTTCCAGGTATGGAACAGAAAGAGAGCATGGCAAATCATTCAGTCGACCACATGCCTGACAGAACAAGCAAGATGCTGAAAATTCAACTGGTCAAAGGTCTTGTTCTAAGACTGATTGTAAAGCAAGCAAGCATGTAAAAAGAAGGCTTGATGGAAAATGGGTAATGCATAGTTTTGTGAAGGAATGTAATCATGAGCTTTTACCAGCTTAAGCTGTCGGTGAGCAAACAAGAAAAATTTTTGCTGCAATGGCTAGACAGTTCGCTGAATACAAAACCGTGGTTGGTGTGAACTGGGGCCTGGAGTCAGGGGATGCCAAGCTTCTTCCTGATTTTTGGGTGCAGATGCGCAGTATGAATTCAAACTTCTTTTGTGCAATAGATATTGGTGAGGATCAACGTCTGAAAAATCTTTTGTGATGTAGTCTTTTTTGACACCATCTATGTCAGAAACAAATATAAGTTAAGCTACCTCTTGCGCTTTTTGTTGGAGTAAATATGCGCTATCAATTTATACTGCTTGGGTGTGGCTTAATATCAGGTGAAAGTTGTAACATAATAAAGAATATCTGTTATTTATATGGATCTTGTTCATAAATGGTAAAAGGGTTTAGTGTTAAAGATCTTGTAGAGGTGTTTGGTTGGTTGGTTGTATTGTAGTTCTGATTCTCTGGGCTACATGTTTAGTTTTAATCAGGGTGTTGTATTTTGCCATAAAAATTTTCGAATGTTCTTCATTTTCCATTAGTTCATACTTAATATATCATCAGTCTTTTGCTTCTTTCCTCCTATATGAAAGGAGAAATTTCTACATGTACTCCTTGAAATTAAGATAACTAGTCAAAATTTGTGCATTAGGGGATGCCATTATGCTTTCTGATTGGAGTTTCCTTTAGTTCCTTGCTCATATTTTCCTGGCACTGATGATGACATGCCATTGTAGAGAAGAAATGTATGAAGGACAAAAATCAAGGTATGACAACTGTAATGGCTTTGATTCAATTTTTATATGTGACTTGCATGTTAAACTGTGAAAAAAAATTAGGCCTTTATAAATTACATTCATATGCTATTTGATACCTTGGACCTTTTGGATGAGCATATCGTTGGGTTGGTTCAAGGATTTATTTTTCTTTGGGTTTAGCTGTGGCTTCCTCTTTCTTATCTTCTTCTTAACTGTTTGTTTTTGGTAGAAGCATCTAATCCATGAGCATGAAGTGACAGTTCTAAGAAGATGAGTGGTCATTAAGAAACAAAAGCTGTAACTTCAGGTAAGCTTTAGTATTGATGGTTTTGGTAGTAACAAGCCTAAAGCACTCTAGTAACTTAAAGGAGCATGCCTTTAAAAAAATTTGTCAAACTTATAGCGGCATAATTGATAATTCATAACTCCAATATCAGTAAGCCTTATGTTGATCATATATATTATATAATGCTATTATACTTTATGAATTACAACTCTATAGAGATAATTAATTAGCTGTATGGGCTTTACTTATCTTTATAAGTTTAAGGATCATATGCTTGACTATCCTAAATAACACCTTTGGCATCCTTCTTGTGTTTTTCCTTTTATATGGGTATTTGCTTAGGTTAGATTCGAGCAAAGTTAGGCCCAATTTGGGTAACTTTTCCAAAGACCTTTTTTGCCTTCACATAGACTCGGACTCGAACTCAAGAACTCGTGCTTAAACAGCTAAAGTCCCTTTCACTATGATCAACGGCTTTTGTTTTTCTTTTCTTTTTTTTTCCCTTTTAAATATCTAAATTACTCGATAATTTTATAAAGCACAAGGGTGAACTGATAATTTTATGAAGCACAATTGATGGTTGATAAATATTGAACAAATGAATAACAATTATGATAATTGATAACTATTAAGCAAACACTTTCTGAGATTTTTGTAAGCACTATCTTTTTACGCTTTTGTTTCTCAACCGAATTGGGTAGAACTTATATTGTTAGTTAGTTATTGAATGAAATGGACAATTAGAAATGGGAAATCAGTTCATTTCCTCACTGTTCAATGGCTTCTTCCTGATAAGTCTTTAAAATCCGTGTGTAAAAGACCTCTGACTTTGGAAGAAGAGCAAAATAAAGTTGCTGACTCGACTAATTTTGGTGCTTGGGACTTCCAGTGCCTAGCTCCTATCATTCCCAGTGAAATTTTACCAACACTTATTTCCATGCTACCTCCAATGCTTGAAGCGGGTGAGGATGCTCTTTCTTGGAGTGCTACTGCAGATGGCTCTTTTTCTATTACTCGAAACTGAAAAAAGTCTTGTTCGTTTGCAGAAAATTGACTTTGTTAAATTGTCTTAACTCCCCATCAAAACGAAGAGTGGCAGACGAATGAGTAACGTGTAAAAACCTGCCCTTAGGCGGGAACAATAGCTGAGAACTGTTGCTAATATCCCGTAGGCTGAGGAGGAAAAGTAAGAATCTGCCCGATGAGAGGCTCACATGTGATATATTACTCAAAACTGGAAAAAGTTGTGTTCATTTGCAGAAAATTGACTTTGTTAAATTGTCTTAACTCCCCACCAAAAGGAAGAGTGGCGGACAAATGAGTAACGTGTAAAAACCTGCCCTTAGGAGGGAACAATAGTTGAGAAGTGCCGCTAATACCCCGTAGGCTGAGGAGGAAAAAGAGGAATCAAAACTTTTTCCAGTTTTGAGTAATATATCAGATGTGAGTGATGTCTTCTTCTAGAAACCGAGCTGGTTGTGGGATTTTCTCATAGCCTCGGCATTTGTAGTGCGTTTGAAGCAGAGCAATGGGCTGTTCTTAAGGGGTTGCTAATGATTGCTTGGGATTAGATTCCACCACTGTCAGTTTATTTGCTGTTTTAGGGCCTTAGCCCTCTTCTGTATTCGAAAAAAAAAAATCTAGTAATTTATTATTTGCTGCTAATCAGGTTTATTGGTTAAAACTATTATTATCAGAAAAATTATTTTGAAAAAAAATAAATAAATATGAGAGACAAAGTGGATTGGGTCTTATATTTAAAATTAAAATAAAAATCAAACAAGATCTTATATTAAGAATTAGAGATAGTATTACATAATGAGTAATGGTAAATGATTTTTTTAAAAAAAAAAAAAACCTAGGCGAGTTGGGTCTTAGGACCTCATTAAGACCAAAGTATGTATTCATGTTCAGAAAATGTTTACAAAATTATTTATAGACCGTCTGCTAATAAGATTCTAAACTTATAATCTTGTGTCGACTGTAATGATAATTGATTTCAACCCTGAATTCACATTTTTGAGCCCAATTCACATTTAAGGGCCGCCGGGTTTTTTCTCATGTCCATGAGCTCTAGCCCTCAGAATAATAATACTTATAATTATAGGTTATAATTATACATAATTGTTAAAGAAGGTTGGGTTGACCTGAGAAGTTAGTTTTTCCTAATATGGTTTGTCAATGTTCAAAATATTAAATAAGATAAGTTGTTTTATATCTTATATTAGATGTCGAAATATTGATTTGAATCAACCAAGTTCCTGTATTAATCGGGCCAAAGAAAGGACTATTGGGTGCTTAGGCAGTGAAACAAATCTTCAAAACAAAAAATTAAGTAAAAAAGTTGAATATTTTTCACACATTATTTCCAGTTTAAAAATAAGAGATATTATTTATGAAATATAAATGATTTGCATTTTTTGCCAACAAATAACTTGAATGAATCTACAAAGATGTTTGGATAAAATCCAAACTATGATTTGAAAAATAACTTCTGAGAAAAAAAGTGATTTTAAAAATAAATTTTGAAAGAATAAATTTGTAAAAAAAAAAGTGATTTTGATAAAATGAGACTATGAAATTATTTAGTTAGTTATTATCAGAAACACTTTTTTATATACTGAAATTATTTGATTAGTTATTATCAGAAACACTTTTTTATATACAAATTACTAAAAAATATATAAGTTAATATAATAATTACATAAAAGATAGATTTTAATTTATAATTTTATTTGAAGTAATAAATTTGTTAATAATTTTTTTGCCAATATAATAAATGAAATATGAAAAAATATAATTAATTAGTTGTTAGTACGCGAATATATATATTTATAAAATATAAGATTAAAAAAAATTTAAAAATAACTTTTTTCCTTATAGAAATGAAAAAAAATTATGGGAAAATTGGTATAAAAAAAATCTTGCACACAGCGGATCATACTTGCACTTGCACAATTTGAGGTCCTTCTGGCCAATTAAAATTTCAAATAGGGATTTTTTTTACTAATTTTTCCAAAAATTATTTTATCTTAAAGGTTATAAATATGAAATTCCATGATCTTTTCTTTTTTTTACAAAATTGAATAAACACATATTAAAACAATTTATTAGTTATTAAACTACTTAATAATTGAAGGGCGAGGAAACAGCAAGGAGATAAGGCCAGTTTTTTATTTCAATTTGAATTTTGAAGGGCATTTTTGTTCAAATTTCTTCTGACATTCATAATAATAACTCTAGTAACCAGTTTTTCAGTCTCAAAAACAAAAATTTTTGTTTTTTCCAAAATCTTGATTTGAGGCTTAAAAACTTAAGGTGTTTGGATACTTTAAAGCCCACTCTATGGTTTAAGGTTTAAAAGTCCTTTTTCAACAATTGCCAAACACCCCGATAATCATATTGATAATCTCATAACATAAAAGTACAGTCCCTCAAGATAGTGTATGGAGATTCCACCAATAGAGACACTTCTCTCTATTGTGTGCTTTTCCCTTTTGTGGAATAAACATTATTACTTCTCATTATTAGTTTTCGTTAATCGATTGAGGGGGCCTTTCCATGTATTTTATTTTGTGAAATTTTATAATTGAGTTAACAACAAGTTTTATATTTTATACTAATATTATAAAATTGACCACTCATTTGCTGGTCAAAAAAAAAAAAAGACTACTCATCTAAAATACCATAATCATATTTCTTAATACCCTTTCTTTCTCTCCTACTTGGTTATAGTTAAGAGAGTGTCCAGATGGGTAATTTAGAAAAAATTGATAAATATGAAAAATGGGTCTTATATTTAGGATCAAAACTAACTCAATAATTGGATCCTACATGAAGGATCGGAGGAGTATTATTTAACTAGATAAAGTAAGATGTTCATTGGAGTCAAAACTTTTATTTAATATTTTAAAAGCCGGACCAGATGTTGAATTAAAAAAAACAGCGAATCATGATTGAACCAGTAACATGATAATAAATATAAATAATATTATATAACTATAAGATAATATAGATCTATATAAACTTAAACATCAAATTCTTTAAAAGAAAAAAGAAAAAAAATTAAATATCTCAATTTTATAATGAATTAACAAACTCAAATAATATTAATATATATACCTCACAGCTAAGAGAATCATTGAAAATAGAGTAAAATACTCTAACCACCCCTCAGTTTTACTTTAATTACATAGACATCCCTTCTATTTTGAAAACCCATATAGACTTCTCTTAAAATTAAAATATAGGTTACGCTAACCTGCCTTATATAATTAATATTTTATTTTCATCTATTCAAATTGTTAGTTAACCGTTAATTTTAACTTTTTAAGCTCTCTTTTTTACCAAAATACCCCTTTTTATCATGAGAACTAATTAAACACTTATATTCCTAAAAAGACTATGCAACCAAGAACGGCTTTTAATACATGAATTTTCAAACTTTTTAATATATGATAAAATTTATTAATTTTGAATTTATTCTAAAATTTTATAATTTTAATTTTTCATCATATTTTAAATTTCTTTATTTTATTTTTTTAAATGGTTAAAAATATATATCAAACGCATATTTTTACTCACTATATAGTATAAACTATGTAAGTTTAATAGATTGTGTAAGTCATTTGAATCTATAATTTAAAATTATTAAACATATTTTTTCTACAAACATTTATAAACACATTAAGTTTAGATTGGAAACATTAAGCAAATAACTATTTGTAAAAATAAGAAAATAAAAATAAGGAAAAATAAAATAAAATGTAGTTTAATATAAATTTTGGGGATTGATTAGAATGGGGTAAAATAGTAAATAAAATTTATTTTAATATAAATTTTAATTAAAAATTATGTTTTTAGAATCTTTTGAGAATATTCTTAACGGTGTTAACATATTGGACTAAACTGTATGTTTTCAAAATATAGGGGAGGTTCATGTAATTAAGGTATAACTGAAGGGTAGTCAATGTATTTTACTCTTGAAAATAATATATTCTTCCGATTCTTAATATAAGACCCATTTAACTAATTTGATTAGATTAATGAAGTTAGGTAAGTTAGTTAATTATAAGAAATGTGACACGTTTTTTCTAAAATACCATAATCATCTTTCTTGATACTCCATGTTCCTCTTCTACTTGATTATGGTTGGGAGAATATCTATAGAGATAATTTAGAGAAAATTGATAACTATGAGAAATGAGTCTTATATTTAGGATTAAAATCAACTCAATAATTGGGTCTTATATTAAGGACCGGAAGAGTACTAAATATACATGACTTTATGTTAATCATTTTACATAAAAATAAAATATCAACATATGCAAATAAATAATACAAATAAAATGACAAATGAGAAATAAGAAAACTCTAAAACAAAAAGATGATACCTGGATAAATGTGGTGGGGTGGTAGCTGACATTAAATGATGACTTACTTTTACAGCACTCAAAGCTACTTTTCACTCCCACCAATATTACACCTTCGGGCGAACATTTTCCTTTCAGATCTCATCCCTCCACCTTCAGGCCATCACATCTCTCCTATGCTATCTTCTTTCATCTTCTCCTTTGATTTCCCTTTTTTCCTTTCTTCTTCTTCGATTTGGGATAGTCTATTAGTTTTTTTCCCCCACCCACACAAGTGTGTAACAAACTCAGGCCATCTGTATTTTGCAAAGCCTTCCTTGTTTCTAGTTTTACGTCGGCTTCTAATTCCAACGTCCGCTTAAAGCAGCTCAAAATAGCTCAAAATGGCAAGGCGGACCAATCACGTGGAACAAGCTAGAAAGTATTCTTGTAATCGGCCGGACTGGTCTGACCATCCGGTTTAGTCCGATTTTTGAATCATTACTTTTATGTTTATTTTTTTGTCAAAAAATCATTACTTTTATGTTTAAAGGATAAAATTCATTGGAAGCGTCTTATTAAAAAATTAATTACGCAAAGGTATTTTAAAAGTTCAGGTTTTGAACTAATGCAACTCATTTTAGTAGATGTAACTTTTTTCTAGTTATATTACAACATATTTTCAGTTAGGTGCAAAGATTTTTTGTTTTGCATATAGTTAAATGGTCTGTTTTGATTAGCGGTAACAAAATAACTTATTTTCAATATGACTTTTAGAAAAGTAGATTGGGTAAAAGTCAGATTGATTAATGTAATTTATGTTTGGATTAGCTTTTATAAAAATTAGTTTGTAAAGTAGGAAAGTATTTTGGATTATGATTAGATAAGTAAGTTTAGTTTGTAGAATGACAAAAATAGGTATGAATTTATTAAATAATAAAAAATTATTAAAAATATGATAATGATAAGGAAAAAGCTATATTAATGAATAAAATATATTTGAATTAGAAATCATAGTAATATGAAAATTTTTAAACGAAATAATATTATATAATAAATTAGATGATATACTTTGTACCGTTTATGTAAATACAACATGAAAATAATATTAAAAATAAAAACATTATAAAAAATATGTTACAAATTATTTTTATTTAAAAAATTATTAAGAATAAATAGCTAAAAACTGGTTGGGAAGCACAAAGAATATGCAAAGAAAAGTATAAGGAAAATAAAAATATAAGAACAAAAATGTCTTGATTCTAAAAAGTTATTTTTGCATAAATCATAAGTAAATTTCAAATACTTTTGCAATCATACTTACAAAAAATAACTTTTGTCGCATAAGCAAAATTAACCAAAAGTTAATCCAAACACCTTACAAAATGCTAAATGTGAGTTTGGCTTTCAAAAGTTGCTTTTCACACAAAAATGTATCCAAACAAGACAAATTTGTATATAAGTGAAGAAGAGTTTCAACATAGGTTGCTCTGTATCCTTAAAGGCTTAAACAAATTTCCTATACCTTTTAACAATTAATTTTTTAGTCAATAATTTTTAGGAATTTTTCTTCTCAACATCTAATTAATTTCTTCCCCTCACATGATAATGCGAGAAGTATATTTAAGTCATGTTTGTCATCAGAATTAAAATTATTTATAAACACATTTTATATAAGTTGAGATTCTCATATATTTATCTCGTATTTTATAAATCACAACTAAAAAACTACTTATAAACTATTCTAAATAGAATCTTAAGTCAAGAATCTAAATAAACAAATTCACTTTTTTTTTCCAGGATTGTAAGTTATACATTAGTATGACTTGCCACCAGACGACAAAAGTCAGTCAATTGGGATAGGTTTCAATATAGCGTCCATGTTCTTTTTCTAATCTTGATAATCCAGACAAAAACGTCACTTCAATCTTCTCTTTTTTGGTCCTTAAATTATTATTCAACATTTTATCCCTCAACTTGGTTTTGATTTATAAATTGTAACTTATGTTTCTTTTTCATATATCTATTTTATTTATAAAATTATGATTTTTTAAATATAATAGGGACTTGAATTATGCGGAAAATCGATTAAAATCTATAAAGTATGGATGTGATGATTGGGTGTGTAGACGCATTAAAAAAAGTGGTGGAAATTACTGAACGGAACTGAGACTCCCAAGAATATAGGGTTCAAATCATACTACCTCCAATTTTGAGAATATTAGTTTAATTATCCTAATAAATACGTCTTAGTTTTTTAAGCTATTATTTTTAATTATGTACATTAGAACAATATCTTAATTGATAATCTCTTTATATATAATATTAATAGATATATTTTGAATAAACGATGTTATAAATTTCAGAATAAACTTTTTGTTTAATTCTTATATTTTGAATTAGAGACAGCATATCAAAACCACCGTACCATACATATGTAATATGTATTACATCTATGCTTTTTTTTTTCCTAATTTCTCCACCGAAATAAGTTTCATAATGGGAGTACCTCACTACCATCAAGTAATTATCGCAGCCACAGGTCGGGTGTTCAAGCATGAGACTAATGATTAAATTGGAACAATTTATAGCCAATCAATCCAAGTGCTCGTAGGTATCTATGCATATGCTTAAATTTTCTGCTCCAAACTTAGAATTTTGGGAAATTATTTGTATATAAGTCAAAATTTGATGCTATATACATATAAAAATTAAATTTAAAATAGTATAAGATTAATGATCAGGAGGGTTTTTCATTGGTTTTGAAGGTTAATAATATCATTTGTAGATTATTTAAAATTTAAACGAATTTTGTGCAATTTATTCTAAATTTTAAAATTATTATTAATGAAATGTTTCTTCTTTCCAATTTTTTTCACTATTAACTATATTAACGGTAGAGTTTTCAAAACTATTATGCAGCTCACAGTAAACAAGAAAAAGGATGATATTTAGAAAGAAATAGTTAAACTTCCAAGATCAACTATATTTTGATAGAAAACTATTTTTAGGAATTGGCTTATATTTATTATTAGAGAGAGTATTTGTATCACTGTTTAGTATGTACTCACCCAATTATCCATATTGATTTAAATTTGAGCAGTAAAACAGAATAATGTTAGATTTTTCATCTAAAAGGGAAAATCTCAAGGATATTTCTAATAATGCATTAATTTTGTATTTTTTTTGGTCCCATAATATTTGTTGTGCTGAAAAGAAAAAAAAATATTTTGTAGGCTGACACAAGTTTTTAAATAAGTTACATTATGTTTGGTTGGGAAGAAATTTAAGGGGAGGAGAAAAATAGGGGAGAAAATGGAGGAGAACATGAATTTTTTTGTTTGAATTAGATAAGAAAACACAGAGAAAAAAATGATAAGAAAAAAAAAGTGTGGGTCTCATATATTTTCTCCCCAAATTTTCTTCCTAATATTGGAGAGATTTTGGAGGAAAACTTTCAATATGTATATAAAGGTATTCTTGTAATTGTAAATATCATGCATTTTTTCTCATCTTCCCCCCCCCCAAAAAAAGTAGCATCTAGATAACTAGAAACTAATCCTCTCAAAATGTAAAAACTATTAAAATGGATTCTGCCTATCCAAATATAAGAAAAGATAATATTATTTCTTCACTTTTTCCTCCTTCTATTTTCCCCCTCTATTTCTTCTCTCCAAATTTTCTCTCAATCTCAATCCAAACATAGTGTTAATATCTATAATTTTTTTCCTTTTAAAGAGTTTGTTATTGCTAAAGTAAATGATTGACGTTTTAATGTTAAAACAGATACATGTATCTCGTGGCCAAAAATAAAAAAAGAGACATCCATGTCAATGGAAAACGACTTCTGCTCCCCAAATTTTTTTAATGAAATTAAAATTAAAATTATAGTAATAATAAAATGAGATTACATATTGCATGCAAATATTACATATTACATATTTATAAAATTAATGATTTGGAAAACTTTTCCCTGACATTAGATGCGTATCTAGCCAGATGACATATTGTTATGACGAGAGATTGGTATTATTCTTATTAATACAAATAACCTTTACATTTTTCTTATGCAATCTACAGGAGTCACTCTTGTAAATAAGGGTTTATTTGAAATGGCGATAAGAGCGTTAAAAGTAAAAGTATATTTTAATCATAATTTATAAAATATAAAGTATATATTTGAAGAGAGTTTTATCTGGACTTATTTAAAATAAACACTTAAAAGAAATAGGTCTAAAAATTCAGTATAAGGCAGTGTGAAAACATAAGTGTAGAAAAGTGCCACATCCCAAGTAGCAGATAATAATATGATATGGAGCTCGTCCATGAATTTTCCCGTCGTGTCTCATCCCCAGGTTTATCTACAATCATTTCAATCATCTGCATCTTCGAATATTTTATTGCATATATTTTGTTTTCAAACATACCTTTATTAATAAAAAAGAACAAATAAAAAATGCAATAAATAAATTGAAAAGGAAAGAAAATATACCTTTATTAAGCCATAGCATTCTGAATTTTCGTACGGTAGAACCTATCCGGAGAAAGTTTTGGACTTTTGGTGCGTCTCTAGTGGCACGAACTTTTTTCCGGCTTCCCCGCTCGATCGACCGCCCAATTCTTGGTGGAAGACTTTGTTGGAGGATCTGAATTTCTGAATGCAACTGAAGATGTCATTTTGGAGAGCTCCTTCACGGTATTTCTTCTCCCGATTTCCTTTGTTTTTCTGCGGCTTCTACGTCTTCCTTCCTTCTTCCTCCCTCACATGCCCCGACTCTCCGTTTCTGTTTCCATTCCAATTCGACAAATCCTCAGAATATTGAAGAGGCCGTCTCTTCTTTTAATCGCTTGCTTCATGTGCGCCCCCGAACCTCGATGATACAAATTAATAAGATCTTAGGAGCTCTTGACAAAGTTGAAACATCATCGAACAGTTATCTCCCTTTTTGCACAATCGGAATCTAAGGGATTCACGCCAACTTGGTAACGCTGAACATCTTGATTAATAGTTACTGCCATTTGGGTCAAATGGCTTCTGCTTTCTCTGCCTTAGGCAAGATTCTTAAGATGGGCTGTCAGCCAGATACGATTTCTTTGAACACACTGATGAAGGGCCTTTGCATCAATAATGACGTTGGAAAGGCCTTGGATTTTCATGACGATCTGGTAGCAAAAGGATTTCAGTTAAATGCAATTAGCTATGGCACACTGATCAATGGACTATGTAAGACTGGAAAAACAAGAGCTGCCATTAAATTCCTCATAAAAATGGCGAGAGGGCCAGTTAAGCCTAACTTAGTTATGTATAGTACGATTATTGATGGCTTTTGCAGGGAAAGACTCATAACTGAAGCTTGTGATTTATTTCATGAAATTATTGATCACGGAATATCTCCTAATGTTGTAACCTGCAGCTCTTTGATACATGGTTTTTGTGTCATGGGTAAACAGGCAGAAGCTACAAAAGTGTTCAATGAAATGATACTTCAAGGCATCAACCCTAATGTGTATACTTTTAGCATATTGGTTGATGCATTTTGTAAGGAAGGAAGTATGACTAAAGCTGAAGCTTTTGTTGCTATGATGATGAAGTATGGTACAATGCCTAATCATTTTACTTACAACTCTTTAATGGATGGTTACTGTTTGATCAATAATGTTGGTGAGTCAAGAGAATTACTCAATAAGATGGTCAATAGTGGTTTGGCTCCTGGTATTATTACTTATAGCATTATGATTAATGGACTTTGTAAAATCAAGATGGTGGATGATGCCGTGAATCTCTTTAAAGAAATGCGTCATAAAAGCTTGACTCCCAATACTATCATCTATAGTTCCCTTATCGACGGTTTGTTCAAGTCAGGCAGAATCTCTGATGTGCAAGATGTTATTTATGAGATGCATGTTAGTGGCCATACTCCTGATATAATATTTTACAGTATTTTATTAGATGGATTGTGCAAAAGTCAACATCTTGACCAAGCAATTGCATTATTTAAGCAAATTGTCAACCAGGAATTGGGCCTGATACTTACACATATACCATACTTATTGATGGTTTGTGTAAGGGTAACAGATTAAGTGATGCGCAAACAGATTTTCCAGCTTCTTTTGGTTAATGGTTATCCTTTGAATGTCCAAGCATATAATGCTATGATCAAAGGACTTTGTACAGAGCGTTATATGATGAGGCAAAGGCCTTGCTCTATAAAATGAAAGAGAATGGATGCGTACCTAATGCTATAACTTTTGAAACACTTATTATACCTCTTTTGGAAATGGTGGTGAGAATGATGAGGCAAAGAATCTTATCGACAAGGTATTCATCAAGGTCTCTTGAAATGATAAAAGAAGGTTTGTCACTCTACTCCATATTTTGTGTTACTGGTGTTCATGATGGACAAGGGTGGCCAATGTGTTTTTTTCAGGGGAAAAAAGTTTGGCTGTAGTGATGTTTGGATTTAAGATTTTTTTTTTTTTCAAGTCATATTTTTACTTATTTATTTATTACTTTTGTTGT